TGTGGTTGAGGGAAGTAGATTGAATCAAGTCAAACAAAATAGTTGTGAACTTCAGAAATATTTATGCAGTGGTGTTTTACAGATGTTTCTTGTGAAATTATTAACTACATTCTACTTTTTTTACATGGAGCTTTTACGATAGTGCTGTATGGGTTCATATTTTTTTCTTTTGTAGTGATGTTAACTGGTTATTCAACACTTTTTTTAAATGTATGTATGTAGTTAAGTTGAACACTGACTGCATGCGTGAAACAAGTGAGGGTTCATATAAACTTAATCAAAGTAACATATTTAATATAGGCACAATGCTTAAATAAATGATATTGAGAAGAAATGAGCAATAACTTATAAGTTAATGTATATAAGTTACGTTTTTAGCTATTTAACTTTAATTAAATACTTTGAAACTTAAATTTATTAATTAATTAATTATTAATTTATTAATTTTTTTTACATAAACACAAAATGTGGCAAAAACGCATACTTAAGAAGTGCAGTGCAATTATCAAGTAGAAATTAAAAGAATCCGACTAGCAACAAACATAACTAATAAAATATAATAGGCATCTTCAAAACTTTTGTTTAGCAAATATTATAAATATAAATAAGGAATATAATATCAATATAATAAATATTTTTTAAGTAATTTGTATGAAATGCGGATATTCAATACTTTAGCAAATTAACATAATTTTAAATTATCAAAATCCGCTGTTTTATTTACATGTAATATATCGGTGTTGTTTTAACTGTTTCAGCGAGCTCCACTCTAATCATAAAATATGCATTCACGATATTTGTATTTAGCAATTTAACAGTTTAGCATATTAGCAACAGTTTAGTATGCTATATAAAAAGCGTGCAAAGGTTAAGTCAACATATTTAGCACAATCGTATTTTATCACTAACTAAGACAAAACTTAATATACTGTGCAGTTTTTTTTTATAAATCATATTTTTTTCGCTCGATATAAGTATTTTAGATAGACGTATAGTCATTATACATACTTCTAAAATATATTTTATGAACAACTTTACATAGAACAATAATTTTTAAAAGAAACTATCAATTAAGTCCACACCTCAATTTTAATTGACCATAGTGAACATGTAAAAATGTAGCTTTTAAAAGGTTGTCGTACACTTAACTAAACATAGTAAACTAAGGTTGTTAAATATAGTTTAATATTATGTCTAAGTATATTAAGGTAATTAAAACTCAATGACCAATATTTCAGGGTAATATTTAGAAACATTAGGAAATGCAATGCAGCATAAATTGCAACTGCGCTATATTCATCGAAAATAATGCATAGTTGCTACTCTCCACCAGTGACACAATGATATATTTATTAACATTTATATAGAAAAAAATATACGGTTTTATTGTTTTACTTCTGCATTTTGTAATAAATATTTCATAAAAATAAAAATTTGTACTGTTGCTAATCTTATTTCAACTTCTTCATTTCAAAGTTATGAATCATTGATGAACGTCACGATTTCGACTTTTCTACTTACTTCTTGTGCAACCAAAGACGAGTAAGAGATTGGTTAAAGTGTCGGAGTGTTACTTACTGTGATCCAATTATTTCGTTTTCTTTATAATTTCTAAGCAAGTGAAATGCACAAAACCACAATATTTTGCAATTCGGATTTGGATTCATTGTTTGAGAGTGAGAACTGAAATTAGCTGCACACTCGTATAGAGACACAATCATATTTATATGCAATATACTATATTTAATTATTAACATTGCACAGATTTTGTTTTTACTTTCTTTATACAACCCAAATATTACTTTTTTATTCAATACTTGTTACAGAGTTTTAAGTATTATAAAATTATTTAAATATTATAAAATTTTATGACGTTCAACAAAAGAGTTTTGAATATGAATTCACCAAGATAACATCTTGCAAAGTAAACGTTATCAACACCATTATTAGAAGGTTATAACAACCTTTCTCGGGATACTAATAAAAATCATATTGCTTTTAAAACCGCTTAGAATAATTAATATATCAGCTAACCACCTTCATTTGAGAATACATACAGCATTTACTCAATTAATTAAGTGTTCTGTCACCAGAACAGATTAAGACGTCTTCTTTAGGTTTAGTTCTGGACTTTGTTCACAAAGCTTTATGTTAAAGAGCTGTGTGTAATCAATAGTGAAATTGGTATAGAAGTAAGAGTCTTCTGGCCGTAGTACCGGCTGCTGGGCGATTTCACGTCAAAGCTTTAACAGTAATAATATGTAGTGCTTTTAAAATCAATACATGGAATATATATGTACATACTATAATAGACATACATTTCTGGAAAGAATGCATTAAGGCAACACCCTATTTTTTGTCATTATTTTTATTTTCTTTCATTTTTGGTTAATTTTTTTTTATAGAAATTACAGAAAACATTTACTTTAAAATAAACTTTATAATTATTATATAATAAGAATATGTGAAATATTTGTCAATTTTGTATTGTTCTCGTTGTTGAAATCCACTTTAGAGCTTGAGGGCCCAACTGGTCTGTTGCTGGAATTACGGGTATCTATATAAAGATACAACTATAAGTTACTTCCTCTTAGGAAATTATTTTTCTTCTTGCAATAAACATTAATGAATTATACAAAAGATATAATAAACCGAGGACTCCACCGAAAAATATATATTTGCAAACGTGATGTAATATCCGTAATCTGCAAAGAAAATGTATTTTAAAGAATTAAAGTTACATTTAAAGAATTAATATAATATAATTAACATAAAAAGAAACATTTCAGTTTATACCGATCAGTTCAATTTCAAAATTAGCTTGTATGAATTTTTATCTAAGTCGCTATTGTTATTGCAACCCATATCATTCCAACATAGTTGCGATTCTTGCTCTTTATAGGTGAGTAACTTTAGTGCACTGATAAAACCCGTGACTGAATTGTTGTCTATTGTGCTAACATTAACCAATTCTCAACTAATTGAAATTGAACAATTACTAAATTTTTTAAAATGTTATTTACATATATAATAACAATATATAATAACATATATAATAATTATTAGACATAATTCATTACCACTGAATAAACTTACTTTTACTTTTCTAAAAAGTACTTGTTATAAATAATCCTTTTCTTGCTTAAAATATCGGAGATTAAACCAGTTTCAAACAGACTATAGAACACTTATGCATATATACAAAATATCTGACAAATTAGTTTTCTGATAATATTTTTGTTCTTTATACAAAGACAAACTTAGAATAACTTTAAGTTCACTTATGATTAAATATTTCCATTGATTGATTTGATGAGTTACACTTAAATTAAAAGATAATTATGAATACCTTTTTACACGCTCAATACTCTTAGGGATTGTATCCGGTTCTTCTTTAGCTACAATTCTTCGCATTCCCCACAAATTGGTACGTATGTATTCGGACCAATCGAGTGACAACATGTCAAAATTAAACAATTCCTGATCTTCTGTGGACAATGAGTTCCATAGTCGCTTTGTATTGTGCATAGTAAAAATCCAGTTATGTGTTACAAAATACTCTACTTTTTTCACAGGTTTCTCTACTACAGAGATGTTGATAATTCTGAAAAGAAAAAAGTGAAAAAATTACTTAAAACCTCTAATACAATAATTGTACATGGAACCAGGGAAGAGTATACCTTGTCTTATTGCGTGTTATAGCCAAGAATAGTTTGACAAGCAGATACGGTAAAATATTCACAATTGGTCTAGCTACTTTATAATATATCTTCGATTTGCACAAAATTAGAAACGGATACCATATCGTTTTACTTATTGGAATTTTGGAGCCATGTAAAGCTACAAGATTGCTGGCATTTTTCCAGCTGATGGGATTGTGCTCATCAGTAGCGAAATTATAGATTAATGGTGTCAGATTTGTGCTGCACGAGTTAAAATAAGTTATTAGACCTAAATCAATTTAATATTATTTTAATATAACAAAATTCGTACTTTAAGTTTGAGGTCCTCCAAGCACAAACAAGTATGTGATTTGCACAATAATCAACAGGAACCAAAACAGCATTAACATCATGATTTATGTACATGATACGTAGTAAACCAGTAGCTACTGAAAACAAAATTCCAAAAGGTCCTTGGTGATTATCAGTCCATCCAATGATTGGATCTTTACATGTAGAACTTACTATGAGAATAATAAACAAATATGTTCATCCTGAGTTTAGTTCAACAATTGTGTTTCTCCTACCTATTGCAGGCCGACAAATGCATACTGGCAAGTTTTCACATTTTAAAACCGCATCCTCTGCCATTGCTTTTGTAAAGGTATAACTATTAGGATACTTCTTGCAAAAATCTTTATCTAAATTATTAACAAATTGTTCATTAAATATATCGTCTTCTGAAATTTGGGAAGTGTTTATGCCCAAATCTTCAGTATAGAAACGTTCTTCGATATGCTGCGTAAGGCAATTAGCAAAAGCCGAGGAAACATGCACAAATGACTGAAAAATATAAAGACAATTTAGAAAAAGATTTTCAAAACTCTATTAAATTGTATAAACAATGAAAAGCTGATATCCAAATAAAAAATAGATAATTAATTTCCTTCTTATCACTCCACGGACCTGCAACATTAGCATTTCTTTCGCCATCTTTAAGAGGGACACTGTGGCACCAAAATTTATGGGTAAGGCACTCTTTAGAGGGTTATTCATATGTGTTGTGGCGGCACAGTGTAATATAATATTTACATTCTCTATAAGAAATTTGCGATCTTCTTTGTTAACTCCCAGCTGTGGTTGAATACAATCGCCTTTAATTAGTTTTAGTTTTTGCATAAAATCTTTTTTAGTTTCATGTAATTTATCATATAACTGCAAGTATTAATGAAACATATATTAATAGAAATGTTTTAGTAATATTTTTGGTACATACAACATCCTTAAAGATTTCATTAATGCGTTCATCAATATCCTTTCAGCGTTTGGGTCGCACAATTAAATATACGCAATTTACTTCAGTCACACGCAAAAGTTTCTCAAGAACAACTTAATTAGCAAAATCAGTAGAGTTTTTAATAACATAATTAGTATATCAAAATTTTTTTTTGATTAAATACATTAATATAAGACAATTGATAATATTTTATCACCTTTTCCAATGAATCCTGTGCATCCTGTCAATAGAACATTTTTATTTCGATAAAATTTTTGAACTTCAGTTTCCATTATTTTCTCCATGACTTCTTAAATAAGTTTTGAGCAGTGAATGCCAAGAATTCCAGCAAGCTATTGGATAAGCTTAAAAGGTCCAATCATTTTATATTGCGAATATGTATTAATTAAACACTTATTAAATCCGAACACCCAAGCAAAAAAGTTTATATTAATTCCTATACACAAATAAATTTAAAAGTAAATTTAAATCCAAAAATTAATTTTATGCCGAATATCCATAATCAGAAGTCGTTGAGAATATTTTTTGTTTTTTATTTTATTCATATATAATTTTTATATTGGAAAAACTTGAGGAAAGAATTTGAACTCTGTCAAATTTGAAATGCATACCCATGAGGTAGACCACTGAGTCATCACCGCATTAAGCCATTGATTTGCGTTGATCAACCGTGAAGTTTCATGGTTAGATTATGAAAACAAAAAATTAAAAAATTAATGTTAGTAAAAATGAATCCTTTACGATGTACGGATAATAGACTGATTTTAAGACTTAGCGAAGTATAGTTGACCGCACTGATCCAAAAACTATCACACAACCGACATTGATAGACAAAGTTATAACTAAGAATATGATAATGATGTCTGGTTTAAATATGAAGATAAAATTATTTACTAAGGCGCCCTTATAACAAGAGTATTCGTATTAATAATACATCATCGAATTAACTATAAGTAAGAGTAAACGGAAGAAAGATCGCAACCTATCTTGCAAGCAATGAAAAGCTTGCAGTAATACTACGCCACCGCAGTGTGCCAAGAACAAAGGACTGATGGAAGAAAAGTATATTTCTAGGAGAGAGGTTTTTAATTAAGTTGTTTAAAAGCAACTTTTATCTTAAGTTTTGTTATACTGAGCTTGGTAAATTGACCCAAAAGGGAACATGAGATATTTGTATATAGAATATAAGCAGTGAAAGATGTAGATAAGCCGGTACAACATCGAAAATGGATGTGTATTATGAAAAATAGATCAACTTCAAATAATGTCTTGTAACTGACTAGAAACGAAGATTTTGACAGCGTAATCCTCAAACTCTGGGGAAAAATTTTTCAAAAGAAATGTAGTGAATTTTATTGATTTCAAATGTTGGACTAATATTTTTTATTGATCTCCATTATAATCGATTATTATCAAATAAGATTATAACGAGTTATTGTTAGCAAAAAAATATAATAAGAGCCACACAGAATTATATAAATTAACAATGCACAGTGGAGTCAATTAAAAATAAAATTTTTAAGGCCTTTAAATAGTTGAAGATAATTTTAGGTTGTATCAGATACTCTTCAATATTCAATATTTGAACAGCTATTGTCATTATAATGTATGCATATTTCATTGTTGGTTTATGATAGGAAGCTAGTATTAGTATTGTATTTAAACAATAATATCTAGTAGTACTTTTTAATAAATGAAAGTGCCACAGTGCGAAGTTTTATTTGTTCTTCAATGTGTTTAACTATAATTGATTCATTTCCCTTTATTTTTTACAATGATTGTTGCAATTATATATATAAAGCCATTATAATATAAAATTAAAAAAGAAAAATTTGTAAAAAAACAAGCAAATACTTCTTATATCAATCCAATTAAGTTACATCAATAATAATATTAAGTAATTAACTATTCTATTTTACATTTATTGAGTATATAACTCAGTTTTTTTTTGCAAATATAACACGTTTGTTTCTAAGAGATGAAAAATTTTATTTTAAACTAAATATTTTTTATCGTAAAGTATGACTTTCGATCATCATTTTGAGAGTCTATTCCATAGAGTTGATTCCATGGAAAAAAAATTATTTGTCTTTTCAAGTGATCCATACATCGAGCATTCATTGTTTGGTTTCTTCGTGGTTTCTGAATTTCTGGTCTTGAAGAGCACATATCAGTGAACGGATCAAGTAATAATCTGATGAAGCGCAATTAGGTGAGTAAGGAGCATGCAGTAAGAGTTTACCATCTCAATGCAAGTTCACTTGGCTGTGATCGAGCATTGTCGTTTAGCGAATTCATTTTACATTGTTTAGTGACTGGAATCGAAAGTTTTTCATGGTTCAAATCTCTCAATTGTTATTGGTACAGTCAGTAATAATATCTTCGTTCGAATTTAGCAGCTCATAGTACAACACTCTGTTTTGATCACACCAAATGCACAACATAACCTATAAATATTTTATTTTGCTGTTGATATGGATAGTTCGCCTGGACGAACCCATTATTTTTTGTATTTATGGTTAGCGTTGTATATCCATTTTTCATCATAAGTCATAATATGATGCAAGAAATGTATAATCTTAGCTGTCTCGTAAGCAAAAAATTGCAAGCCATTACGCGATTTTCAATATTGGCTTCAAGCGGTTCATGAAGTACCTATTTTACTACTATTTGATTAATTTTCAAGCAGGTGAATCTTTACTTTTGGCTGCTTCAGTGCCATTTAACTGTTCTGTAAGTTCTAGACTTTTCCTTTAATAATGTTTACACTTCTTCATTTTAAAAGTTTTTGGATTGACCGGAACGTTCTTTGTCACGGACATCAAAATCAACATTTTTGAATCGTTTAAGCCAGGTTTTGCAAGTCTGTTGAATTGGTGCACGTTCACCATAAGTTCCTTGAAGCAGACAAAGACTTTCCGCAGTTAAGGTTGTTTTATTGGTACGAAATTCGAATGTTCAAACGTAATAAAACATATATTGTTTATTCTTTTACATATTTAATAAATAATATACAAAGTATCAGTATTTGATTGCTTTGAATGTCACACGCTCGGAAAAAATGTTACATACATTTTCAATTGTTTAATCAACATGTAATTAAGTAACATATACTGGGATAAATGAAGATTAAACTTTTTATACTTAGTAATTTAGTTTTTAGTATAATATTAAAATAAATACTGCGCTTAGAGAGAATAAATTATATTAATTTTACTCTCATTTTCACTGCTTTCTAGTATAACTAGACAGTTTTAAACTCTCTATGGGAAGGGAAATGCTAATTTCCTTCTTTTTCTCCTTTTTTTTTACTATTCTCCGGAAATATAATATCTATATAATTTTTTTTTTAAGTGCACATGTGGTTAAGTATTCATTTGAATGGAGTCCTCAAAACATTTTTCGCGGAAAAATTATAATTATTTAGTTGTCGCCATTTTACATTTCACATTTCGATGTTTAAAATAATATTTTCCATTAAAAATCAAAATTTTCGATTTTTCCATTTAACATTAAAAATTTTTACATAACTATTATTATTATGTTAAGGCTAGTTGAACCAGTGCACTTGAGCACTTTTACTTTCTATTAACTAAGAGGTTTCTCATAAACTCTCTCTACGCCTTGACTGAATTATTGTTTATCACTTCTTCAGACTAAGCAATAACTGACCTCAGATCTGCATACCTCCCCAAAGAGCCTGTAACCATTCTGAGATTCGATAACGCAGTATAGATAAGCCTGTCAGTTTTCGTAAATAATTTCAGGACTCTTATCCTTTACTTTAATTTTCTTTTGTAAAAATGTTTATATGATTTTTTAATGAAATTTTCTAAATTTTTGTTTTTAATTTTAATAAATATATTAACATTTTGGAGCTAGATTTTCGAGTTAACCAGGTTTAAAGGTGTAAATTCTTAAATTTAATAAGGAAATAGAAAGTAGTCATGACATCTATCAGTAACTATTTGTAGTATATTATATATTAACATTGATTACACCAACGACGATCTTCAGCTGTCGTAGAGTACTTTCTGCTCCGGATCTTGTAAATAAAACAAACAAATTTAAATGTTATTCAAAATTTATTTTATCTCCTTCAAAATATGCTCCTTCTGAAGCGATTCACATATGCCAACGCTTAACCCAATCTTCCATACACTTTCCGTAGGCCCGTGCAGGTATGACTTTTAGTTCATTCGGCGAATTCTCTTTTACCGAATTCTCTTTACAACAAGAATTTTCCATAGTAAAAATCGCTAAATGCACTTATGGTAGTCTCACATTAACAGCTGTGGTAAACAAACTAATTGATAGATGGCGCTCAAATTTGTACCATATGTCAAGAAAGGGTGTACCAACATAACAAAAAAAAATTTTTGAAAAAGGTCTGTTACTTAAGAAGTAGTTAACAAACAACAAAATCCGGATACTTTTTGAGCAGAAAGTATATAGCCTGGAATGTATTCTGTTGGTAGTTCTGATAATTCTGATTAATTATTATGAAAAAAATTTTTTTGAGATAAACTAATATTTTCAATATTATGATACATCGAGTAATTGAACAATAACAACTGTGATGTATTACGTCCATTTACAAAATTAACTCCTTAATTTTACAGTTGAATTCTCAGCTGACTCAATTTAAGTTGTCCTCTTAGTGTGTTTCATAAATATTTATAGAAATTTAAGATAGCAGTCAATGTACAACAAAAGTATTACTAAATGGTCTGAATAAGTCGCATAAATACACAGGACGTGCTTTTGAATAAATTCGCTCATAACTTAGCTGACACTACTGTCAATTGCGTTATTCCGGCAAATTTATGTTAACTTAATTTGTAATTAGATAGAAAAAGTCCTCGTAAAGTGGAATTTATGTGCTATTCCACATTTGATTCTAGCTGGCTGCGGCGCATGCTACAATTTTTTCATAGGAGCTATAAATCATAGTTGGAATTGATCGGAACGCAATTCCACGACTATTTCGTTTTTATCTGATTCCTTTTCTATCAGCAGCAATTTCACTCCGCATTCAAATGAAAAAGGAAATCAATCGGAGCGGATGTGGCTGTAGCTGTAGTTGGTGTTTCTAGTTGGTCCTTTGCTTCACCTACAAACTGAACCGAGTTTATTGCTATCCTTCTGCGTGTTTGTTGTTGTTAGCGGAAAGTTTTTCTGTCACATAAAAATAGTTTCATTCAATATTTGCATGACGGCGATTTCTTCTAATGTTTGAATTCAGTCTGTGAAAGCGTTGCGATTGCAAAGGATCTGTTGGAAGATGAAAGTAACTGATTTAATTTCAAATAAAAACAGACATTTAACTGAAGCGTAGTGAGGCGAGTGAAGTAAAAGTTTTATTCAATAAAGTAGAACAAAATGTTTTTCTGGCACAGAATAGTTGGTAATGGCAGTGTTCTTGGAATGCTGACATTGTTGTGTCTTCAGTTGCAGCAACCAGAAATATCTGCTGCCACAATGGAAACAAAGTCGAATGACAGCGCATTTGTTGCATGCAACAATATTGGGCTTCCACGTAAGTCACAACATAGCGATGTTTTGTTTGTTGAAACATAAAAAGCATAAAAAAATTTAAATAATTTTAAACATTTCTAATTTTTTATCATTTTTATAATTTTTTTTTATTTCATTTAATATCACTTACATGCCAACTAAACCTTAAAACTAATAAAGACAAAGTTGACTTGAACCATTTATTTTGAATTAATACTGTTGAGCAGTATTTGTACAAAACCATTTTTAATTCAATACTACGTAAAAAAACTTAATTTACTTATTAAACTATATGGAATAATATAATTTTTTAGAGGTCCAATAGAATAATAGACTACCGCCACCATAAACCAATAGTTGTACTGCGCGATGGAGAATTAGAAAACTGCAAAGAAAACAAAATAAGATCATAGTGAAGTTTTTGTATAAAATTCTTACATATATATGCTTTAAATAATAATAGAGAAAGATTATTTTCAAATTCATTATTTTAATTTTCGGAATTATTTAGAAACTTTATTTACATACCGTTTTTTGAGCTCCAAACCCCTTGGAATTGTGCTGGGCTCTTCTTTTGCTAGAAATCTTCTCATACCACATAAACTATTATAAAAATATTCTGACCAATTAATCGATAGCATATCGAAATTAAATATGCTTTGATCTTCCGGAGTTAAGTTCTTCCACAATTGCTTCGAATTTGTTATCGAAAAATTGAAATTACGTTCCACAAAATAATCAAACATGGGTCTCTGTTGATGGATTTTTTTATAAGTTTTTACTAATCTAAAATAAAATTTTAAATTTTATATATAAATTGTAGTGCAAGTTGAGAATAAACAATGGTAAGTAAAATTGTTTATATATTTTTAAGCTTACCTGCGTTTTTTACCCAGTACCAATAATAACAGATCAAATATATATCCTGGTATTGTGTGATAGAAGAAGCATAATATCTTGTAGAATAAAATTGAATTTGTATGAATTAAAAATGGAAACCAAATCATATTCGTTAAAGGCATTTTCGTACCATGCTCTTCAACAGAACGCATGTATGATTTCCATTTTAATGGATTTGCTGAGTCCGGAACTAAATTGTATATTGAAGGCGGTGAAGTAACACTGAAATATTTAAAATTAACATTAGAAACAATAAGTTAACATTATTTATGATTTATTCTGTCAAACAGCGTAACACATACTCTTGTCTCACAGATTTAGCCGTATACCAAGCCGTAGAAAGCATAGCATTTGCACAATAATCTACTGGCACCACACCAGCATTTGCTTCAATATTCGCATAAAGCACATGTAGTACACCATAAGCTGCACCATACAAAATGCTAGTAGGTCCATATAAAGTATCTATCCAACCAGGCACTGGTTCACTGCAAGAGGGTATAACTGTAAAAAGTGCAACATCAACATATATTCTTCACACCATATTTCAAAACTTACCGATACCAGGCCGAAATATGCAAATCGGTAGTTCACTGCCTTGACTAAGAATAGCTTCTTCTGCGAGAGCTTTTGTGTAACAATAAGTATTTGGAAAATCTTTGCATAGTTCTGTAGCTAAACGATCGGCCGTCTCCGTACCTAGTATATCTACCAATGTGCATAACTTTTCTGCAGTGATGTTCAAATGCTCTGTATAGTAGCACTCATCTATGTCTGTCTTGAAGCAGTTAGCAAATGCGGAAGATACGTGAACAAAAACCTAGCAAATTAATTAAAATAAAAACGAGTTTTGTAAATCTTCATTATCTTCGATCTTATTTAAATTCCACCTTTAATTTTTGCATTTTCTTCGCCAGTTTTATTAAGTCCACTGTTGCACGCACGTTTATGGCCAATGCGGTGCTCAGCGGCTCATTAAAACGTACTGTGGCTGCACTATGCACCACAACGTGCACATTCTCCACAAGATCTTTGTAATCATCACTGCTCAGGCCAAGATTTGGTAGCAAGCAATCGCCAAATATGGGCTTCACACGTTTCGCTGAGTTCGGTTTCAGTTTGTGAAGTTGATCAAAGAGCTAGAAAAGTATTGGACATGTTTTAATCTTTTTAAAATTGTCAATGTTGCAAGAGGATTAAAAAAATGCCGCAATGACTTACTTCATCCTTTAAAATGTCATTTATGCGTTCATCTATGTTTTTGCCTCGTTTTGGGCGTACCAAAAGGTAAACATAGTTGACGTCTGTGGCACGTAAAATTTTTTCCAAATAAACTGAAATAAATTTAAAAAAAATACTAGTATTTACGCTGTTTTAATTGATGTAAGCAAAAAATACAACTATTTTGTATATTTTAAAAACAAATTTATTTTTGTCTCAAATATATTTTTTTTTCAATTTTTTTCTCCACAAAACTTCATTTCATTCAGTCATAAAAATTTCACAACTGAAGAGCACTGCAGTTTTATGTGCTCACATCAAAATTCAGTCAATTTAATTAACTGGAACAATAAAAAACCTCATAACCGAAATTTATTTCATTTCAAGAAACACTAAAATCAGTTTTAAAATCAGTTTTAAAATCAGTTTTGTAACATTCGAAATGAATCTTGTGTGCACTCGTGAAATAGAATTTCGTACATGGGTGATAATAAAAGTTGGCTACAAGTAAAAATTAGTAATAAGCAATAAAATAATTAATTTTAATATTTTACACCTTCGGTAATACACAACTCTTTCAAAGCTTTCAAAGACATCGATTCTTCTTAATGAATAAGTTTTACTGTCGTTGGGCTTACGGTCATATACATGAGAGTAACATTAAAAGCAATTGGAATCTCACTATTATCATGAGTATATAATATATATTTAATTTTTGAATTTATATTAAAATTACAAAGAATTTTTAACACTCCTTCTACGCACGCAGTCAGTGTTCAAATTAATTTCAATTCCTATTATTCACATTGAATATGCAAAATTATAAGTCCCAGTTAATAACACCCATAATTATATCAATTACATTAAACATTTCTATAGAAAACGTTTGCGTAAACATTTACAATATAAATATATAAAATTTACAAATGAAATATAAAATTCAAAGAATAATCTCTATATAATATTTCTGTGACTTTGAAGAAAGAAATAGTCCCACAGTCAAAAAGAGAAGTAAATGCAAGGTGTTTAGTTTTATTCCGAAAATTCAATGAGGTAATTCGCTGATAATTATTAATTTAAAATTGTTATTTTGGTTTTTTTTTATTCATTACAAAAATGATGACATAACTTAATAATAAAAAGTAATATAACTCTTATACTAGTACGTTCAAGTTCACATTAATTTATAATACAAAGAGCGAAGTGAACTTTTCGAAATTGGTATTCGAACTTCCCACTTCTTTCTATTACAATAAACATTTCACTGCGGAAGCCTTAGGACTAACGAGCTTAGCATACATCACAAGTATAGATCTTCAAAGGATTATATACTTCCAAAATCTAATATCTGAATATGCAAACCGATGATTATGCACAGGACCTTACTATCTACAATCTTTATAAGCGTTATTCGTTCTGGGTACTTATTTATACTGAAAATTAAAGGGTGAAAATAGTGAGGAAATCCAAAAAAAATTTTTCAATCAAGTAAATTCTTTCTTAGACTAATCATACAGATGTTTCGGATATCATTAAATATCTGTCAATTGCTGTTTTTGAAAAAATTTGATGGTTTCATTATCCGCATGTAATTTTTAGACTATAAGTGTCAGGAAATTGAATTAATTGAATATTAAATTCTATAAAAGATGTGTTTTCTTATTAAATGACCACATATCCACATATCCAGTCCCATAGCCACATATCCAAAACATTGAACGGCCTTGATTAAGCAGGACATAGACAGAATGCCACTGTTAGATGAGGATAAAAGAGAAAGAGAGAGAAATAGAAAGGAAATCTTCATCGCCTCATAATCGCATACATTATGCGATTCATGGTAAATCTAAGTTGTTTAGCACAATGAATGAAGAGTCTCATATATTTTCGGATATTTGAATACATAGAAGCACAACGCGTT